TGGTGATAGGGAAAAATTCTAGGTAAAAGGGCAAGTTTCCCCACACTCGAGGCAGTTCATCCCAGACTGAACATGCCACATACGATCCCTCCTGCTACTCATCCTACCGTACTAGCCATCGCACCATGAAGTCCAGCTTATCTTCACTTCAGAAAACCAGCTCCACGGAATTGTCGACCGAGGTAATATGAATTTATTGTAAACTCTCTCTCTCGACATAGGGAACTTAGGTCTAGAATACATTCATCTTTGTATGTGAGCGGATCTTTCAGATCCGACGATTAGAGGGCCTTGACCCCTCGTCCGTATTCTCACAGATTGAAGGGTAAAGTTCCTGTAAAATTCGGAATGAAATCAAAGTTAAATGTTGGTAGAAATCAGATTCAGACTATTGGTTTAGTAGAACTATTTTTTAAGATTCGAGGATACAAATTTTCTTTACCTTGTCGAATAGTGAAGTCTGAGAATACCTTCCCATGTGAGGGAATAATTGGTCGCGATTTCATCAATTATATAGGTTTAGTATTAGATTTTAATGATAGTATAATAACTATGCCCAATGGGAAGAGCATACATTTTTGTTCATCTATAAAACTCTCCTCACGACCGAGAAGGCAATGGAGAAGTATTAATCCCTTGAAAGATATAGACAGCAAAATTCAGAAGAAGATTAATGTGAGATTAGCAGTGGGCCACTGGGCTCATCCCAAATGACCACTTACTCTGCAACAGGTTGGTAAAACCCGTTCTCGGCTCGTCGGATGGCTAGGAGGGCAAAAAATTGAGTGGGGAGTACGTCGGTAAGTCGGCAGGTGTCCTCCAGAGACAGAAGACAGGTTTAAAAACTAAACAAGCATTTATTTATATAACTAAGCTACGATACATAGGTTAAATGCGATTAAATAAGTTCACTATACAAAAGGGACGCTCTAATAGCTTTACCTGCTAGTCTAAGAAAGAGTTCACAAAGCCCTAAAAAGTACAAATACCTCTATGCGTTCGTTGAATATGTTCGTTAATGGCGATGGAAGTTCAAATGGCTGTGGTTGGTCGTATGTCTTTTCGGTCCGGAGTATGGAGACAAATATGGCACATCTACCAAGTATAACTTTCGAGGGATCGCTCGGAGCTTCCGGGGACTCGAGCTTTTATACGTTATTCGCGGGAAATGAGTCACGTGATCGACTTCTGTTGACACTTACGGTGCATTCCGATCGACTAAGTGTCAACTTTCCCACCTTAATGTGAAAACAATCGGTGACCTCCGATATACTTCTCACCAAGAGTGGATTTTTCCTCGGAGTTGTTTACAAAGATTTTTCCGACATCGGCGTAAAAATTGCGGATTTTACATTAATAATATCGAGGAGAGCCCACCTCGAAAAACAGAAATAATTAAAATTGTCCGACAAGCCCCTAGGTCTAATGTCCATGAAAGTCGTCAAATCCAGACGAAGAAAAAGAAGTTTCCCGAAGGAAAGAAATTCCCCAAAAAAAGACAAGAAGTTCATCTGATAGAAAGGTACAAAAATTAATTTCACAACCTCTGAAGCTGAGTGAAGAGCATAAATGCTATTATGATTCAAATATGTTTGATGTAAGAAGTAAAGACAATTTTCAATGGGAAATCTCATCTTTAGAAAATGCTTTATCTTGAAGATAATACGAAAATTAAGTGGATTTTTCAATAACATAGTAGAAGTTAATAGTTTTACGAGAGAGAGTAATTTTAATTAAAATTTTTAAAATAAATTACCTCCTACATAAGAGAAATGTTTAAGATTGTTCCAACCATTTTGATTTCTGCAATTCGACGATTTGTGATCTCTAAGAACTATACTCAACAGTTAATCGTCAGAAGTCCTACAGGTTGGAATACACAACAGAACTTTTCGCCAGAGAAGATTTCTCCACAACTATCTCTGCTGACAGACGACAGTTTGAAAAGAAGCCTTCATATGAACGCTTATATCTCGACTCAATAAAGGAAAGAAGCAATCAATGTTGATGAATTGTTAAACAGTTTGCAAAATATTACAATTAATAAACATATGAATTTAATATCACTTGATATAGTTAATATGTATCCGAGTATTACAATAGATGATATAGAAAATTCATTAATAAGAATAAATACACCAATTTGTATTATAATATTTGATAAAAGAAAGACAGATGAAAACATAATAATTAACAAAGCTAATAAGATGAAAGAAAATATTAAATTTGAATTAGAAAAAGAAGAAGAAAACAGCATTAATTATTTCGATATAACAATTACAAGAAAAGAGGATAAATAAATTTATAAAAAAGATGTTAAACCTGTGCAAATTCCAAAAATATATTAGAGCAATACGGGGAAATTATGCAAATTCAGTAGTAGCGGAACACTGCAATTCAACAGGATGTGAAATAGTATTAAATTCAGTAAAAATAAGGATAAAAGAAAAAAAATAATAATTATAAACGGCAACTATACGAGCATATTGATATAATTAAACAAAACAATAGAATAAATAATAATACCGGAAGAGGAATACACCAATCATGGAGAAGATTCATAGAAGAAAACAGGAAATTGACGTATAAAGAAAACGATAGAGACAGGGCAAGAAGAAGTGAAAGTGAGGAACAACAAGAAGAGATGTAAATTAGAGATTAGTTTTAAATGTACAAATATGTTAAATGTTATTGTTTAAAGTAATAATTTATGGTTTTAATATAGGAATGTATTAAAGCTAATGTTAAAAGTAATTAAACTGAATTATTGTATGAAAAGTGGAATAGAAAGAAAAAACATCAAAATTGTAAGAATTTTATATTTTATTATTGTTGGAATATTTTAAAACATGTATTGTCCGAAATTTAAATGTGTTTATTGTTTTAATTTTAGGTAGAATTTAAATACCTGCTGAAGAGGGACATACAAGTCCGAAACGCAATATGTATGTGGTAAATGTAAATAAAACACTTTTAATCTGTGTGACTTATTTGCAATAATCTTACATATCAGTTTAATAAGTCTTATTAATAGAAATACACACTGTACTGGTAATAGAAAGAATCGTTCCAAGGAATCGTTCCAGAGTTAGCAACTAGGACAGAACAACTTCCTGAGAAGAATATCCAGAGCTGATAGAACTTTGTATGTTTTGAGGAGAAAATACAGTATATTCGAACGCCTATACGCGTATATAATCTGTTTTGTTAAGTCAAATGATTTTGATTTTATTCATTAACAAATGTATATTTTACTATGTAATCCTAATATGAAATTTTATCGCTATAAACCTAATATGTTAACAGCACTTTGAAATGTAACCAATTTATTTTACTTATGATAAACTTTTATGGATGTAGTGTTTGAGAGAGTTGGAAAAACCTTCAATATATATGTATATTACTTTCATCTCTGTTTAAAGAAAAATCACATTTATTTGTTTTTTGTGAGAATTTGAATATTTTAGGATAAAATATTCAAGATATAGAAAATCTTTTAAAATTAAATAATATAATAATTCGAAATTTTTATCAAGGCAATAAAAATAAGAAGAACAGGAAACAAATGTTTTCTGTGTTGACAGTCAGTTCCTGGGAGATATTGTTATCTCCCATGACTAAAAGGGCTGACTAAATAGAAAGACTAATCGACCACACCCAGTCAGATGCTTTTATTCCTTAATTTCTATTAGAGGAAAAGGGGAGTATAAATAAGAGATACGCTCCAAACTCTGGACACAGCACATCACTATATCCTCAAATTTAACTTAGTGCCATACTTTATAAGATTGAACTTCCGCCCAAAAGACAGGAAAGTTACAAATCAAAAATGATATGCAGTTTTTAGTACTTTTGTAAACTCTTTCTCTCAACCTTTAGGGATCTAGTTAAAGGTTTAGTCATTAAGGTTTAATCATAGCTAGATTTATTCAGTTTGTTTCTTTTTATTCTTTGTTTTTCATTAAAGTTTTTGTTAATTTGTTGACTAAGTAGGAGTCCGTGAGGAAACTAGAATCCCATCACTTACTCACGTGTCTCCCCACTCAAACGAGCCCTGCTAATCAAAATAGTAGTCCGAATAATAGTAGTTGGAACGCTCATAATTATCGTAACTGGTGTCAATCCTGACCTTGATCTTTATTTTACGATCTAGATCTTTATTGCCGCTTATAGGTCAGCCATCCTTTGACGTAGACATTGGATCTCACGGATCTTGTGCAGATTAAGTAGTCATTAGGATTTCCCTTGACCCCCTTCTTATTTCAAAATTTTAATAAGTTTTTAAATTATTAATAATTAAACTAGAAAATACCCGAAAGTATTTTTTACTTTCTTTCTAAGATATATTTACTTTATTTTCACTTTTGCGTATTTTTTTAAACTCAGCAAGGGTGTTTTTACATATTAATGATAAAACATTAACAATTCAATATTATTTATGAACACCAATTTAATTTTTTCGGCTGAAATCTGAATAAATTCTGGACCTATAAATTTCCACTGATGTCTGTTTGTTTCGCTGTCTTTCTTTAATCTCGAGAAAAGAGTTACAAATATGAAAAACTAGACCAGATGTGAAACGTGGAAAGGCTAGAGGCACTGATTCATTGTATACGAACTTTCTGTGCAAAACGTTAGTAATGTTATTTCAATTCAAATATTTTTCCTTAAAAGGTATTAGATAGATGACCGAAACGACTGTATTATTAAAGGAAAATATAATATACAGGGGGCAAGACACTACGACTTTGAGGTTAAGAGCATTGATTATATATTACATAAATTAAAAATATTATTGAAATATTGCAGCTAGGCATTGTGATGATGTCACAACAAATAATTGCTCATTTTAAGTTATATCTTCATTTTGACATTGCTATTTTTGCTTTGACTATGTCTTTATTTTATCAAATTATATAATTTTAGAAAGAAACGAATACATTTAAATTTATTTACCTCGTAACAATGCAAAACTTACATTAATTTTTGTTAAAGAGAAACAATTGAAACAATTGTAAATATTTCTTCAATATGTCTAGAATTCATTTAAGATATTTTAATTTACGAAAGAACAAACCTCTTCTGGTTGTAAGAGATGCCACTCGCTGTCCTCCAACCGTAGTCATTTGTATTGTATTATATGTCTTTTTTCTTCTCTGTAACAGCAGTAAGTAATATTGAATTTATATTAATATCCAGAGAAATATATTTTTAATGTTAAAAAGATTTGTTTGACAGTTTGTGCGTCTTCACCTCGAATTGGATTCTTTCAGTGTTTAAAGTTAAAATTCGATAATATTTTTAAAGAACGGTTAAATTGTCGACAAAATTCTTTGAAGATTTTCTGTTTCGATTGTTCCTTCACTGTTAATGACTGTGATTTGATTGAAGAATTCAAATATGAATTTTTATACGACGGTAAGGATATATCTATGATTGGTTTTACTTGTGCATTTGGTTTCATTTCATTGAACTTATTTTTTAATAAATTCTGCAGAAAATTGTGTATCTAGTCAAATATTTGGTATATTTTGCTGCAAGAAACAAAGCAAAGGATGTATCTGTTCCTGTTTTTCGTGCTTTAAAAGTCTTCCTTTATATCTAATGAAAAATGTTATAAATTGTTTTTCGAGTTTCCTTTTTTCGTTAATTAATCCGTATTTATATTATTTTCCGTGCATCGGTTACCTTGGCATAATCATTTTTGCTTTATTATTATCAAAAGTTTTAGATCAGTTTATACATCGTTGTCACCAACGCAAGAAAATGGGGAAAACAATATGTATTAATTTTTCAAAAGAAATGAAGAAAAAGCTGAAAGCAAATAAATAAACATTATCTATCAATCAAAAGTGTACATTCTTAAGTATATGTTACACTTTTACATTTACATATNTCTAATAAACGATTTTCACTGTAAAGTACTTGTCATCTTTGTCTCTTCCGCCACCATCAACGTAGTACGAATGGACCCTAGACCATCACCGACACGGTTATTAAATTGATTTTCCCTGATTAACTGATTTTCCCTAAAAGTCGGCAAGCTTACAAATTTGACACAAAAAGCCGTTAAGTTCGTTATCCGAATTTTGTTCGTTATCCGAGACAAAATTTTTGCAAAATAAAAGTTCGTTAACCGATTTGGTCGTTAACCAGGACGTTCGTTAACCGGGGTTCCACTGTACTATATTATTACTCCAAGATTAATGGAATAATCATGATTGTTCAGTGTACTGTAAGCTGATAATCTGTCAATACGATAATCTGACAGCTCCATGATGTTTCACCTTATTGATTCCACAAGTACAAAGATATCGATCTTCCATTACTTATATCTGTCTTAATATTTTTAATGTTCGTAAATAATTTTGTATATTAAAAACTCATATCCTCTGTGAGATCTGACACCCTAGAAGAATCTGGACTCTTGAATTCTCATACGTTGCAAATTCTCGCAATTACTCTCAATCCATCAGTCATATTGTAAAACAATTATTTTACTTATCTTTCAATGTAAAATAAACAAATCCGCCAATATTCGTGGAAAGTTATATTGTCCAATATTATATGACGTCAAACCTGACATATTCATTTTAACAATACATAAAAAGTTGCACTACAACAGATTGTAAATTGTTTACATTTGTACCTTTTTTTTAGGTATAAACAGTTTTGTACAAACAAGCCAAAACTCTTAAAAGACACAACATAAAACCTAAATAAATATTTTCATTAAATACAATAATTAAAATGTCTTCAGAAATTTCATTTTAATCTTACCTTCTACAGGGTCTTCTGTATGAAATTTCACATATTTCAGATACGTGCAAACATTGTTAATATGAAATTAAATGATAAAAGTACTCTCAGGTACTGTTTTGTGGTTCCATGGATTTTTTTGTTGTGACTTTTATAATAATCGGTTCTATTAACCACGTAACAGAAGCCATTAGACAAACTCCTCCGAAATAAAAAAACATCGCATCGTAATTTCCTCCGACATCTCTGAAATAGCCTGAAAACAAAATTGATATGTATTTAATCTATATTAAATAAGTCTATATTTAATATGTATATAATCTAAAAATTGGGGGTTTTGATATATGTTTGTTTATTTCTTATTTCATAAGATTAATTAATTGTTACTTCTTCGGCTTTTATGTAGACATAACATAAGAAAGTATTGTAGTCGTGTTAAATTTGACTTTCCCATTTTTTACATATTTCCACGATCTCCTGAATTAAAAACAAACTAAAAAAATCTAAAAAAACTTCTGTGGATAAGTATGTATAAGTTTGGGCTGTGTGTCTGTTGTGTTCGCATCTATTTCGCTCAATATTTCATGATGGGGTAAAGTTTAAATAACGAAATTTTGCATGATCGGACATTTATATTATTATATTTTGGTGGGGAAAAAACCAAGGATTGGAGAGATAGAGAGAAGTCATGTATCTCAATACGGGTAAGACTTAATAAAAATTTTATTTATCAACATTTGCGCTATTTTCTTAAATTTTTTCCTGTCCTCAGCATTGTTTTTGTCATTTTATAGTAATTAAAAATTATTCTTCCCATTTAGTTGTTCCTTAGGAGATATATCTAGTTAATTATAAGGTGAAGCGAAAAATCTTAATTACAAAGATAATTAGGATTTCTAACAATAAACTATTTAGAATAAGCCTATAATAAAATGTTTAATATCATGGCTATGTATTTACTTACTGGAAGAACACTTACCTAAAATACTTGGTGAAGAAAAATGAAGGAAACCGTTCAATGCTTTTCCTGTTCCTATTCCCAATGGAAGATTTTTTAATCCTAAATAATCAGTGTATAATGGAGAAACATTTATACTCAAACAACTGACTGTAAATCCAATACAACAGGCTGTTACGAAGAAAGCGATTTGCGTTTTCCAAAATGGAATTATGACGTATGTTGACGCTTGCAGGAAAAATGCCAATGCTACCATTGTTTTCCTATTCATCCATCTTAAATCTATTAACCATCCACAGCATAATCGTCCACAAAGTACAGTTATGGAAATAGTAGAAGGGATATAAATAGCAGTACTTTTAGATATTCCACAATCGATTGCATAGTCCATTACAATAGTGAAGTATATAATATAAGTTAAACTATATACAGCTATTGTAATCCAGATGATGTGAAACATTACGGTACGAAATAATTCCAGAAAAGATAATAGAACTGTAACTATTTTGACATTTTTCTCGTTGGTTGTTTCATTTTTACTTTGTTCGAGAGGTGGAGGGTGTGGGTATAAAGAAATAGCCACAAATGCTTGCATAAGAAATCCCGATAACAGAAGAAAGCATCCTTGTATCTCATATGTATCTATTAGAATAGAGCTTATTATAGGAAATATAATTTCTCCTGTAGATACGCCTGCATATACAACACCTACTGCTACAGTTCTGTACTTTTTAAAACATCGATTTACCATAATGATATTGACATTATTAATCATACCAACTCCAAATCCTATAAAAAATAAAAATAAATAAATAAACAATACATTTATCTTAAATATCGTGTGTTAGCTGTAAAGAGAAAAAGAACTGTACTTTCCTAATAACGCTCCATACAGTATAGAAATTGCAAGAATACTAGAAATAAAATAGCATCCTGCTAATCCAATCGTACTAATGGTTACTCCGATAAATACTAACGTTTTGAGTTTTATGAAATGTGACAGAAATCCAGTACACAGGGCTAATAACGTTAATTAAGAAAAAATTATCCGAAGAAATAATAAATAATGCATAAAATACATATATTTTATATACGTTACCTGAAATTGCACTAGAAAATTTTCTAACGGTAAATGGCCATGCAGACTGTCGACGTGGTACATGGAATTTTGTTGTAATGGCAAAAAATAAAACTCCAGACGATCCCATTATCATTCCAATCACAAGAACAGAGCAGCAAAATGAAGCTGCCAAAAATATCCATGCCCAACCTTCATCTGGTTTGCGAAGCTTCATACTTATAATAAAAATATCCAGCGCTATCAATAGTAAAGAACACTTATAAATATCATGATATATTATCAACGGCCGTATTCATAATCAAGAATTAAAATTTTATCATTTAATAAATTTACTCTACTGTACTAGAAATACAGTAGAGTAAATTTATCATTTACTTTACTGTACTTCTAGTACATGAAAGCGTATTCGTTAAGAACTAACTCTTCATTCCTGATTATGAATTTTGACGTTAAAGTTCTAAATAATGATATTTTTTACATGAAACCATTATTATAAGAATTCATTGTGTTAAGAGTTAACTTACAGTAATAAAGACTGTAGAGTTGAATTTGCTGATTATAACTATTTTGAAATTCGATTATACTAATGACAACCAATAGTCAGCCAGCACCCTTCTGTTTAAAAAAATTGAAATGTTATAATGAAAATATATTATTTGTAGGATGGAAAAGACATTTAAAAATTACAAGGTGACTTTTTAAGAATTTAGGTATATTTTTGGTATAATTAATTGTGCCGCAATTTGAAAAGATTGTAAAACGTAAAAGTTCTCACAGTCCTCTGTCTGTCTTTCCTTGTGTCCAATGCAAAACGAATGTCGAGTTATTTTAATTCAAATCTTTTCCCCAAAAAGCAGTTCCATTGCACTTCCATTGCTAACGGAAAAGTATAAAGTAGAGGTGTAAGACACTACTAATTTTAAGTAGAAAGCATATACAGTAGACCCCCGTATAACGCTTAGATACGTTCCACGCTAACCGAAAATTACGTTGTAGGAACGATTAAATACATGAGCCAATCGCAGCCCGATAGGTAGGAACTTTACGGACTAAGGCTGTTCGAAAGGTTTTCTTCTATAAANAAGACTAATCGACCACACCCAGTCAGATGCTTTTATTCCTTAATTTCTATTAGAGGAAAAGGGGAGTATAAATAAGAGATACGCTCCAAACTCTGGACACAGCACATCACTATATCCTCAAATTTAACTTAGTGCCATACTTTATAAGATTGAACTTCCGCCCAAAAGACAGGAAAGTTACAAATCAAAAATGACATGCAGTTTTTAGTACTTTTGTAAACTCTTTCTCTCAACCTTTAGGGATCTAGTTAAAGGTTTAGTCATTAAGGTTTAATCATAGCTAGATTTATTCAGTTTGTTTCTTTTTATTCTTTGTTTTTCATTAAAGTTTTTGTTAATTTGTTGACTAAGTAGGAGTCCGTGAGGAAACTAGAATCCCATCACTTACTCACGTGTCTCCCCACTCAAACGAGCCCTGCTAATCAAAATAGTAGTCCGAATAATAGTAGTTGGAACGCTCATAATTATCGTAACTGGTGTCAATCCTGACCTTGATCTTTATTTTACGATCTAGATCTTTATTGCCGCTTATAGGTCAGCCATCCTTTGACGTAGACATTGGATCTCACGGATCTTGTGCAGATTAAGTAGTCATTAGGATTTCCCTTGACCCCCTTCTTATTTCAAAATTTTAATAAGTTTTTAAATTATTAATAATTAAACTAGAAAATACCCGAAAGTATTTTTTACTTTCTTTCTAAGATATATTTACTTTATTTTCACTTTTGCGTATTTTTTTAAACTCAGCAAGGGTGTTTTTACATATTAATGATAAAACATTAACAATTCAATATTATTTATGAACACCAATTTAATTTTTTCGGCTGAAATCTGAATAAATTCTGGACCTATAAATTTCCACTGATGTCTGTTTGTTTCGCTGTCTTTCTTTAATCTCGAGAAAAGAGTTACAAATATGAAAAACTAGACCAGATGTGAAACGTGGAAAGGCTAGAGGCACTGATTCATTGTATACGAACTTTCTGTGCAAAACGTTAGTAATGTTATTTCAATTCAAATATTTTTCCTTAAAAGGTATTAGATAGATGACCGAAACGACTGTATTATTAAAGGAAAATATAATATACAGGGGGCAAGACACTACGACTTTGAGGTTAAGAGCATTGATTATATATTACATAAATTAAAAATATTATTGAAATATTGCAGCTAGGCATTGTGATGATGTCACAACAAATAATTGCTCATTTTAAGTTATATCTTCATTTTGACATTGCTATTTTTGCTTTGACTATGTCTTTATTTTATCAAATTATATAATTTTAGAAAGAAACGAATACATTTAAATTTATTTACCTCGTAACAATGCAAAACTTACATTAATTTTTGTTAAAGAGAAACAATTGAAACAATTGTAAATATTTCTTCAATATGTCTAGAATTCATTTAAGATATTTTAATTTACGAAAGAACAAACCTCTTCTGGTTGTAAGAGATGCCACTCGCTGTCCTCCAACCGTAGTCATTTGTATTGTATTATATGTCTTTTTTCTTCTCTGTAACAGCAGTAAGTAATATTGAATTTATATTAATATCCAGAGAAATATATTTTTAATGTTAAAAAGATTTGTTTGACAGTTTGTGCGTCTTCACCTCGAATTGGATTCTTTCAGTGTTTAAAGTTAAAATTCGATAATATTTTTAAAGAACGGTTAAATTGTCGACAAAATTCTTTGAAGATTTTCTGTTTCGATTGTTCCTTCACTGTTAATGACTGTGATTTGATTGAAGAATTCAAATATGAATTTTTATACGACGGTAAGGATATATCTATGATTGGTTTTACTTGTGCATTTGGTTTCATTTCATTGAACTTATTTTTTAATAAATTCTGCAGAAAATTGTGTATCTAGTCAAATATTTGGTATATTTTGCTGCAAGAAACAAAGCAAAGGATGTATCTGTTCCTGTTTTTCGTGCTTTAAAAGTCTTCCTTTATATCTAATGAAAAATGTTAGAAATTGTTTTTCGAGTTTCCTTTTTTCGTTAATTAATCCGTATTTATATTATTTTCCGTGCATCGGTTACCTTGGCATAATCATTTTTGCTTTATTATTATCAAAAGTTTTAGATCAGTTTATACATCGTTGTCACCAACGCAAGAAAATGGGGAAAACAATATGTATTAATTTTTCAAAAGAAATGAAGAAAAAGCTGAAAGCAAATAAATAAACATTATCTATCAATCAAAAGTGTACATTCTTAAGTATATGTTACACTTTTACTTTTACATATTCTGTCTCAGCTGGAGCATTGAGCGAACAGATTTTGGAAATTCTGTGTACATATTTCGTGAATTTTACAAAGGTTTATGTAAATAACAAGAAGCATTTCTTAATGATTAAAAGAATATATTTCTATAATAAAGTATTTTCATAATACAGTAGACCTCCATACAAAACGAATTCATATAATACGGATTCGTATATAACGGCGAAAAATTGCGATCGTATTCGTATAAACACGCTAAAAGAGACTCGTATAATACGGTAAAACGTCATCGTCGACTCGTATAGCGACAAGATTGGTCGAATCTAGACCAATAGCAAATATTGCACCAAACGTTGAGTTTAAATGAGCAACGGACCTACTAAAATCAACTTATTATTTAACGGTCATAAAAATTATATTTATATTAATAATGTCTCCAAAGTTCAGCGAATTTTTCGCAGAAAAATAATTTATCAGGAAACACGCGCCCGCCGTTCGATGCGCCGCAACGCGACGAAAACAAGTGTAAGCAATGGCGTCGTTGAACGGTGCACACTCGGTAAGTAATCCTACAATTTTTTAATTATAGCATAGTTTATATGGATTATTCCCAAAAAATTATACGTGTTTTGGAAAATCTAATTAGTGTAGAATCGATTAATTTTATGGAAGAAAACCTTTCAAACAGCCGTAGTCCATAAAGTGCATATGTGCCGGGCTGTGATTGGCTCAGGTATTTAATGACTCGTAAAACATGAATTTTATAAAACACGGAACGAATGTACGTGTTATAGGGATGGGTCTACTGTATAGTGAAAAGACTTTGTCAGATCGTGAAGGCGTATGTTACCGAAGGGTCGGCACCTCTTCGATGCCCTATCAAAATGATAACTCCGCGTCTCGGTTGACACGGTTGACAAGCCGCGCTAACTAGGTAACGGAAGTAGTCGCCTAAAGGGGCCATACACGTTAAGTTAATCTTTGAGGCTGCCTGACCTTGAGGAACTTCAGTATTTCCTATCGCCCACACACGAAGAAGAAAATCTTTCAGCAGAGGCATAGCTAGTGTGGGGAAAATAGAGCAGGTGCCCCGGGCGCCACTCGCAGAGGGGCGCTAAATGGTCTCCAAGACAAGATTTGTTCCTGGAGGGGGAGAGGATGCCAATACAGTGTCGTGCCCCGGGCGCCAGTTATGTTTGCTATGCCATTGTCTCAGTCAGTCAGTCGGCCATGGCATCTGATGACGACATACAGTACTGACTGTTCTTGGATGTTTATTGGCGACAAATTCTATTAAACCTCGCGGGAAAAAGTATGCAAAAAAGTCTATGGTGTAAATAGTAGTAGTAGTGGTTAAGGTAGCACTGATCACGAAATTATTATATAATTATTAATTTTTTGGGTTATATAAAATAAAAGTTAATAAGGTTATAGAAAATAATTCCTCCAAACGTTCACGAGACATTGTTCTAACTACTCAGCGGTCTCAAAACTGAACGACACGACGGCACACACGTTAAGGTCGGCCTGCACAGTGTGATACTGCAGGAAAATCAAATGGTTTTTCGATTCTACTCCGGTGGTCGGTATAGTTCGCCAAAACTGTTAAATTTTCCCCCACACACTATCAGGAATTACTCAAGGTCAGGCATGCATGGTTAATCCTTGAGGATTAACTTAACGAGTATGGCCGCCTTAACGGAACGATCGGGTTCGGGACGGAGGGAGAGACAACGCACCGGAAGTAACATACGCAGAGAAGAGTTAACGTAACAATCGTTTAATATGTAACAAAGGAGTAACTACAGGACATACAATTTCGAGTGGAATATCATAGATTTAAAGACATTGGTTGTGATTGATATACATTTTAGACGAAGTCTTGAGAGAGAGAGAGTTTACAATAAAAGCGCGTGGTGATAAATACTTGGTAAAATATGTGGTTGACAGATTGATAGATGACGACGCTACTGGGTGATTTTAATCCTAACAAGGCATTTAATAAGTCCGTTGACAATGAAGGTAATCCAAGACAGAATGTTCGATGTAATCCACCACTTAGACACTCAATAAGTTCGGTTTTCGCGGATGTGATGACTTTGGATTTTAGACGTAATGAAGATTTTAGCTAAAGGGCTGGGTGACGACTATCTCTTTACGAGGAACGGCGGAAACTCTCCTAACTTTGTTGTTCTGTTCTATATTGAACAGATAAAATCGAGATATTAGGTCGAGAAGTGATAAGAAAGCGTCGTTGTCAGGCCTGAAAACCTAAAAGATGTTTTTCTCCCGGGTGTAAAAGTTGACAGTTATTTAACGAGATTATAGTTGCGATGTGACGTTATAAATAAATAATGTAAACGTACTAAAAGTCAGGATTCGGATCCTAACACGCATATGTTATAGTGTTTGATATATGACTTTATTACATAATAATAAATATTACATAATAATAATAATAATAATAAAGTAAAATTTCTGTCCGGTCCAAGAACGTGTTACGCTTAAACGGAACTCGAGCTGCCATCTGCTTTACAGAAACTCAACTAATCGTAACAAATTAAATTTCTACGTCGGGAATGATAAATTTAATAAAGTAATACCTTTAATTTCAATTAGATTTGTCAGATATTCTCTTATGTTACGTGAAGGACCTATCCGAAAAGAATTTGACCCTAAATATATTATATATAAGGGTTTTTGACAGCTGCTGTCGCTATTTATCTATCAGAAAATTCATTAACTCGACTCTACGCTTCCTCATAAATGTTAGGAAACTTCTTAGGAATGCGGGAATAAGTTGTTTCGTTTATAACGAAATTAATTCAACGGTATCGTTAAAATGGGGAGGTATTTAATAACCTGAAAAAAGTGAAAATTATATACAGCAATGTACAATTTTACTATGTAACTTGGCAAATGAAAGGGATTCGACGATTAGTTTGGGATGAAAATGGGATTATTTTCAAAGTTTCCTTTATTGTCTTATTGTAATACGGACGTATCGATTGGAGTTTTGATAGCGATTGTCTGTAAGGTACAGATTGCATGCAATTAAGAGATTTCTCTTCATTGCATTAAATCTAGAAATTCTAAATTCCTCCCCTCTTCTTCTATACATTTACTCACTAGGATTTTCCATTTACAAATTGGGAGTTAAATTAATTAAACATTTCACTTTCTTTTTTTCTACGCGAGTGCTTTTCCCCCCGTGTTTTTCCAAAGTGCGAAATGTTTTGCATAAATTCTACATTACTTCTTTCCTTAAACAGCAAAATGTCTCCCTCCTTTCTACTTCCCGGGATGTTATATATAATAGGGGGAGCGTGAAACATAGCAAATCTTGGGTAAAAAAAATGACTCCCCAAGTCTTCTACATTCCTGGACCTCGAAGTGTCGAGAAATGCAAAAAAATCGGGTGGTTTCCTGTATATATGGATGTATTTGTGGGGGCACGACTTTCTTCCCCACTTTGAAGCTAAATAACTCGTGCGCCTTTGGCCGAAAATTTCTGAAATTTCGCAAAAAAGTTTGTGTATTAGGGTCATTAATGCTATTAAATTTTGGCGGTTAAAGGTGGACGGGTTGGGGAGATAGAGGGGATCGCGTGTCTTATCTCGAGTGGAGTCGAAATTAATACAGATTTTACTCGTTATTAGCATTTATAGTGTTATATAAAACTCGTCTCTACCCTCAAAATTAAGCTTTTTTTTGCCACTTAATAATTATAGAAAGTTTTCGATAAAATCTCTAACAGATGGGGCCACAGGCGATTCCAACTGTTGCCGGAAAAGTTATGCAACTCTACTGGATTTTCACCCGGAGAGAATTGTGATGAATTAAATATATCCTGGATAAAAACAAGCGTTAAATTTTTACCGGTGCGACGTAAATTTTAACTTTTTTCCCCTCCATAAAAAATTTAAGAATTTACTAAAAATTAATTACTTTGAAATCTTTGCAATTATTAAAAACGCGAGGTAATTAGAAAAATAATTAGAAATTTCTGGCATAAATTAAAAAGTCGTTAACAATAAAATTCCATCAGAATTGATCATAACCACTGAATCTTTCTGACAATAATAATAATGAAAATCTAATAAATATATTATGTAGAAGCAATTAAAATTAGCAATAACTTTGTGCTCACATTTAATTACAGATTTATAAACCTCTTAAAGGCATCTTAATTAAAGTAATATTGAAAATTATCAATTCTCCTCTTCCTCATACAAAGTATGAGGAAAAGAAAAACAATTCTTTTCCTTTGCATGAGGAAAACTGATCATTTCTTCGCTCTCCTCTTCCACTATGTATGAAGAAAAAGAATGGAGAAGGAGAAAGAGGAGGAGGAGGAGGAAGAAGAGGAGGAGGAGGAGAAAGAGGAAGATGAAGAGGAAGAGGAAGAGGTGGAAGAGGAAGAGAAGAAGGAGGAAGATGAGGAGGAGGAAGAGGAAGAGAAGAAGGAGGAGGATGAGGAGAAGGAAGATGAAGAGAAACAGGAAGAGGTGGAAGAGAAAGAGAAGAAGGAGGAGAAGGAGGAGAAAGAGGAAGATGAAGAGAAAGAGGAAGAGGTGGAAGAGGAAGAGAAGAAGGAGGAGGAGGAGGAGGAGGAAGAAAGCCATTATCAGGTTTCCTCATACAGTGTGTAAGGTAAGAGAAAAAGAAATCTCTAATTTTTTGAATAATAAACAAGTAATTGACTTTAAAATAATTAAAATCACAACAGTAACAGACCCAATATATAAATGATTAATCCAGCTGAAAATAAATATTATAAATGGATTCTGAGCAGTGTTATTAATATCTGAGACAATAAATTAATTAGTTATACCACTTTAATCTTTCAGAAGACAATAAATTTAAGTTTATACATGATATATAAAACATTTTCACAATATTATAAGTGAATTTCAGTTGTAAAATGTATTAAATTTGATTTTAAAAGGCTACAAATTTATATATTTTATTCACAGTCATTCACATTCAGACATTATAGTGAGTTTAAAGTGTATATAATGGCTTACATAATATAATAAATCTGTATCTATAATTTCATAGAAAACCTATAATAAAGAATTTATATAGTACAATGAGAAGACCACTGTTTTCAAGATAAATTCTACAATTATTGAAAGCATTAAGGTTAATATAAGCAGCTAAATCTACTTTCTAGTGATAAAAAGTTTACAAAAATCTAAAATAAACAATATTGTATCTTATATAAGTAAGAGAATAAGTTAAATTTTAATCCAAGAAAAAATTCTGGAGTGAAAGAACAGTTTAAAAGATAGAAAAAAAAATTGAATGCCATAAAAGAAACTCAATGCTGTTCAAAGAAATGAAAATAATTCAAGAAGTTTTAAAGTAGAAAAAGTCTATAGAGTGCAGGGAATAAAATGGAGAATCGAAAGATAAAATATC